TATTTGTCCATTTATTACTTTGGCTTGCAGTGTTGTCAAGTTGATGTTTTTGTATTCTGTTCCAGATGACACCATATTGTCAAATGAAATTTAATGAAATACATAATTTCAAGTTTTTACAGTGAAACTAATGAAATTCAATACAGATGACAAAGCCATTAATAGATAAAATGATGGAGAATGAAAATTGTATTTGACATCTTAATATTTGAGTTAATTAAAACTGACTCCAATATTGTATGAATACTTATTTTGAAATTTGTGTTATAAAAATGTATCTATATGTCCATGAATTAGAAAAATCATGAATTAGTGAATAAGTGCCGTCACTGTGTGTGTTTGTCACACATATATATATATATATATATATATATATATATATATATATATATATATATATATATATATACAGTTAAACTTCAGTATCTCAAAAACTGATATCTTGAATACCATTGATATGTTGAAGTGAGTTTGAAGTCTGAATCACTTTTTATTTATTTATTTTAACCTATGTATCTCAGATCTTTGGATTCTTTAAGTTTTTTCTTGGCCCAATTGAGTTTGAGATAATAAGGTTTGGTACTTGCAAACAATTTTGCCTTGTCTTAAATTCACCCGAACACAGATGTTTTTCAAGAGATAAAGCTGTCCTCTTTGAATTTTTTCCATTTTAAATTGGCCCTTTTGTGAAGTCCATGAAAGGGGCAAAATTAAAAATGGGAATGAAGATATCTATATATATTGTTTGAAAATAATCAGACAAGCACATAAAGCACTAAAATATGAATCAAGCAAAAAAAAAACAAAAAAAAACAACAACATACAATAGTATTTTTCATATGGTGGAGACCTGAACTTTGATTGCTTCATTACTTGTCGACAAGGAACAATTTTCTCAAAATAACTGATTTTCTCAGCATTAAACAAACATTTCAAAAATCATAATGTTCAATTTTAACTACAAATGCAAAATACTAAGGCACATTCCCTCTGAGTGGTAAAAGAAATATCATAAAGGTAGCAAAGTTAGATTAATGATACAATTCTAGGTCACCTGAGTCACTCAGGTGACCTAGTGCTATCTGTTTTTATCTGTCGTCATGCAGCATCTGCCATGCATTGTGTGTTGTGTGTTAACATTTGAACATTTAAACTTTGGAACTTGGAACCACTGAACCAATTTCAATTAATTTTGGCATAGAATATCTATGAGTGAGGGGGAACAAAAATTGTGAATTTCAAGGTCCCTACCCCCTGGATCCTGAGGGATGGGGCTAAAACCATCAAAATTAATGCAATCTTTAAAAATCTTCTTCTTTACTCCTGGACATCAAGCAGTTGAACTGTTGTCATGGTTGGTTGGTTCTTTGTTGTTTAATGTCCCTCTTGAGAATTTTTCACTCATATGGAAATGCCTTCACTTGAATGCAATGGGACCTTGGTTTATACAGTCTCATCAGAAGGACTGGTCTCCACATCCAGCAGTGGAGTCCGCAACGAAAGGATCAGCTCCTTTCTCCGCGACTATAGAGCAGATGCTCTAACCACTGTGCCATGTGTGCGATGCCATGGTTGTAATAAGCATTGAGCCCTCTACCAAAATTATGAAATTCATGACCCTAGGGTTCTGGAGTTAGGGTGGGGCTCTAATGATCATATAGATAGTGAAAATGCATGAATTCTTCAAAAATTTTCTTCTCTCCCCTTGTTTATTAAGCAGATTAATTAAGTGCATGGTTATGATGAGCAATGGTGCCTCTTCCAAAATTGTGAAATTTGTTTCCCCAGGTCAGGGGTTTGGGGGGGGGGGGGGTTGTTATTATATAATAGTAAAAATGTATTTTTCTTTGAAAAACTTTTCTGCTTCTGGGTATTAAGCAAACAGACTAAGTATATAGTTAAGATGAGCAAGGGTGCCTTTTCCTAATTTGGGAATTTCGTGGCCCCTGGGGAGGGGGTTCTGGTGGGGCTCTAATGATTATATAGTGAAAATGCATTAATTTTTAGCTCATCTCAACGAAGTTGGGGGAGCTTATGTAATACCCTTGGCATCGGTGTCGGCATCCCAGGTTAAAGTTTTTGGGGCAGATGTTTCATTGTACCAGTCAAGGTTTCAGATGCTGCAATTTCAGCTAAAGAATGACCAGGTTAAAGTTTTTGGAACAGGTTAATGTTTTTGGAGCAGATCTCATTTCCAAGTAACTATAATCCTTATGTTGACTAAACATGCATGGATGATACATCTAAGGATGCACATTACCAGGCTTGCCTCTGATGCTGGATCTGATCTACATTTTCCAGATGAGTGACCAGGTTAAAGTTTTTGAGCAGGTCCATTATCAAGAAACTGTAGGGCCTATCTGAACCAAAGTTGCATGGATGATGCATCAAGAAATGAACACTCTTAAACTTGCTTCGGATGCTGGATTTGATTTACATTTTCTGGATGAGTGACTAGTTTAAAGTTTTCAGATAAGACCATTCCCAAGTAACTGCAAGCCATATCAGACCAAAATTGAATAAATATTACATCTAGGGATGCACTTTATTAGATTATTAGTTTATTGTGGGACTTTGCCTTAATTAAAGACAACATTTGTTGAGGTGAGCTTTGTAATCTCTGATTACCTGTGTTTTGAAAATCTTCTCTATTCTTGGGTATTAAGGAAAGAGACAATGGATGGTTATGATAAGCAAAGGTGCCAGCTCATCCAGAATTGTGAATTTCACATCCCTGGCCTGGGTCAGGGGTTTTTGAGTTAGACTCTGTTGATTATATTGTGAAAATGCATTATTTCTTTGAAAATCTTCTCTGCTCCTGGGTTATAAAGAAAAAAAAGTGCATCATTATGATAAGCAAGGGTGCTTTTAATGAATGTCTGTGATGAGAGGGATAAAATATAATACTTCTTAGCATAATAAAACATCATGAAATTAATGAGTCTTTGAACTCTTCTCTAAGTGAAGTGATGTGTAATGTATAATTATATAAAGTGTAGAATATCTCTTTTTGTATAAGAACTCGACAGCTAAGAAGACCCTCCAGCCTACCACTGATGAAGATAAACCTAAGGTTTTCTCTCTGTCTGCTTATGTCTACCATTATCATTCTGTTATACCTGTAGGAAATCATTTGCTGGTTCTCTTCTTCTTTGGTTCCTTTTAAGTTTCCTTTGTTATTGTCATTCTCTTTTCCTAAGGTAAGATGCTAATGTGTTGTACACAAAGAAGATTTTGATAATTAACATGCTTTATTGAATATGGTTTTTTAGCATGGTAAGCTACATAATTGCTTAAGTGAAGTTATCATATTAATGTATCTGTATTCAGTATCTTCAGATTGCTTTTTCAGTTGCAAGAGTTCAAAGCATACATCTGTAATAGTGTATAAAGATGTTTATTCCCATATATTTATAACTTGCAAGTCACACAGGATATGTAGCAAGATCTGTAATATAGAAAATTTCAATGCCAGGGCTGCAGTGCACAATATTGAACTACACAATCCTTAATGACCAAACAAGTTAAAGTGCACTATACATAAGAAATGTATTCAGTGCAACTCAAAAAAGAATAGACTTCTGCCATTGATGAATTTCTGGTACAAGTCTTGTTAGATGTATAGAATGAGAGATTAAATTTTCCCTTTGACCCTGACAAAATGATTATAGAAATATGATTCATGTATAGATACCATAGTTGTGTTTAAATAGTCTTTCTTTCTAATACAGGTATTATTGTTACTGTATTTCTTACTTAAAACCTGGCAGTGTTCAGTACATTAGAGGCTGGTGTCATATAGGAAATTATAAGAAATGGATGGGATTGACCTTGACCATGTAACCTTTGCTTAGTCTCATTATACACACCCTAAAATCATTCTTAGTAAAATATGAACATTTCCAGGTAAATATTTCTCAGATTATTAAAGCTTAATTAATCTACACTTTAATAGTAGGTCTGTATGGATCAACATCCTTTGTGAAGTGTGTCATGATTATGAAAGCTTAATCAAAATTTCTACTTATTTTACAAATGACCTTTTCTATATGACCTTTTGTTCAGGTTCACAACAGTCCCTTTGGTCATAAACAACCCCCATTTTGAATATTAGCTTATATTTTTTCTTAAAGTTAGGGGATATTGGACTGGCCCGATTCCTTCCTATTTTTTTTTACCATGACCTTGTATGATGAAATTCATACTGCACCTTATTTTAAGTTAAACTTTTGGCTTTATATTCTAGATTTGATGACTTGAGGCTCAGACAAAATTTCATGCTTTTTGTCCATTTCACATTGATTTGATGAATTTGGTTCAGTTTTAGTTTTTTTTTTTTTTTTATGAAACTCCTTTTAATAATCAACATTTATTTGTGTTGATTGATATGCCTATAGTGAATTTTTGAACAATACAGACATAATGTTTCTTGTATATTCCATCCCCGATCCTTTTGTTTGGCTGAGGATTAAGGAAATAAAGATGTCAAAGTAAAAAAAAAAGTGGTACAACAGTATTGTCTTAAGTTTATGTTTCCTAACCTCTTCAAAAAGACACTCTTTTGATACTGAAAAGCATAATTAATTGATGTATGTAGATGGAGAGCTTTTAATAAAGAGCTTTATTTTGTGAGAATCTAATTGATGATGAGTGTTATGTGACAGTGATCATAAATGGGATATATAGTTTTGTACAGAAATCTGTAATAGCATTTCTGAGTAACAGTATAGTACATTTATACATGTAAATTGCAACATACATGTACATTAGTCACTGCAGCAAGATCTAGAAGTAGGCCTTTTATTATTTTTGATTTAGTTTGTCATAAAAATACATTTTTAAATGGCGTATGATTTTGATGTAATTATTGTATTGCCAAAAAATTGCATTAATCATTTCTGTTTGTAAGTCTTGAAAATGAAAATTGAAATCATTTTTAGCTTCCTTATTCAGCTTGTGATCTATTTTCATATATGTAAGGCTGAATTGTTTGTCTTTAGGCTCCTGAGGGGGAGAATCAACCAAGTACAGCAGTGGATCTCTTTGTCTCAACAGAAAAAATAATGGTGCTAAATACGGATCTTCAGGTAAAGTGTCATAAAAACATTCAAAAGTTTGCAGTAAATCCCTTAATACAGCAATATTTTATTTCATATGTTTAAAAAGGGACAGCAATGTTTTGTGATAGGGCAAGTACAGTATTAAGAGTGTTGTACATTTGACCTAATTATTACAACCTAGAAGTTACCTCCAGCTAAGTGGATAGAGATTGTTTGTCCCTTCTTTTGCAAGATATCTTGAAAACTTGTAAATGGCTATCTATAGTACTGGTTGGGGTAGGGCTTTGGGGTTTATTCCCTAATGCATTGTACTACAGTGCGGACTCGTAATTACGATGTTCATTTTGTCACGGTAAAATATCGTAATACCGAGGGCACTCTCTTGTTTAACTACTTTACAGGAGATCATGATGGACCATTCCTTACGGACTATATCCTACATTGCTGATATTGGGGACATTCTGGTTATTATGGCCAGAAGGAGAATTTTATCCTCCCCAGGAGATGAATCTCTGTTGAAGAAAAAACAAGCCAAAATTTTGTGCCATGTGTTTGAGTCTGATGAGGTATGTTTGACTCCTCATTCTATCTAAATAAAAGATTATTAACTGAGTTTCCCTTGGGAAAAAATCTGGTTATGGAAACGGTGAAAATGCCGGGCGGGATGTTGGTCAGGGTGGGTGGCTTCCAAGAGGGTACAAGTAACTTAAATTTTTAGGTCACCTGAGTCACTCAGGTGACCTATTGCTATCCGTTTTTGTCCGTCGTTGTGCGACGTGCGTTAACATTTGAACATTTTCAGCTTCTTCTCTGAAACCGCTCAACCAATTTCAACCAAATTTGGCATTTAGCATCTATGGGTGAAGGGGAACAAAAGTTGTGAATTTCATGGTCCCTGCCCCCCTGGGGCCTGAGGGGTGGGGCTAAAACCACCAAAATTAATGCAATCTTTAAAAATCTTCTTCTTTACTCCTGGACATCAAGCAGTCAAACTGTTGGCATCATTGTAATAAGCATTGAGCCCTCTACCAGAATTGTGAAATTCATGGCCCCAGGGTCAGGGGTTCTGGCCCCAGGGTGGGGCTATATAGATCATATAGTGAAAATGCATTAATTCTTTGAAAATCTTCTCCTCTGCTCCTGGATATTAAATAAAGTAACTAAGTACATAGTTATGATGAGCAAGAGTGCCTCTTCCAAAATTGTGAAATTCATGGCCCCAGAGTCAGGGGTTCTGGTGTTAGGGCGGGGCTGTGTTGATTATATAGTGAAAATGCATTAATTCTTTGAAAATCTTCTTCTCTGCTCCTGGGTATTAAATAAAGTAACTAAGTACATAGTTATGATGAGCAAGAGAGCCTCTTCCAAAATTTTGAATTTCATGGCCCCAGGGTCAGGGGTTCTGGTGTTAGGGCGGGGCTCTATTGATTATATAGTGAAAATGCATTAATTCTTTGAAAATCTTATTCTCTGCACCTGGATATTAAATAAAGTAACTAAGTACATAATTATAATGAGCAAGAGTGCCTCTTCCAAAATTGTGAGCTTCATGGCCCCAGGGTCAGGGGTTCTGGTGTTAGGGCGGGGCTCTATAGATTATATAGTGAAAATGCATTAATTCTTTGAAAATCTTCTTCTTTGCTCCTGGGTATTTAATAAAGTAACTAAGTACATAGTTATGATGAGCAAGAGTGCCTCTTCCAAAATTGTGAAATTAATGGCCCCAGGGTCAGGGATTCTGGTGTTAGGGCGGGGCTCTATAGATTATATAGTGAAAAAGCATTAATTCTTTGAAAATCTTCTTCTCTGCTCCTGGGTATTAAATAAAGTAACTAAGTACATAGTTATGATGAGCAAAAGTGCCTTTTCAAAAATTGTGAATTTCGTGGCCCCAGGGTCAGGGGTTCTGGTGTTAGGGCAGGGCTCTATTGATTATATAGTGAAAATGCATTACTTCTTTGAAAATCTTCTTCTCTGCTCCTGGAGATTATTTAAACAAACTAAGTGCATGGTTATGATGCATAAGGATGCCTTTTCAAAAATTGTGAATTTCATGGCCCCAGGGTCAGGTGTTCTGATGTTAGGGTGGGGCTCTATTGATTATATAGTGAAAATGCATTGATTCTTTGAAAATCTTCTTCTCTGCTACTGGAGATTATTTAAACAAACTAAGTGCATGATTATGATAGGCAAGGATGCCTCTTCCAAAATTTTTAAATATATGGCCTCAGTTTTTGGGGTTCTTGAGAAGGGGGGGTTTCTATTGATTATATGGTGAAAAAGCATTAATTCTGTTAATTAATCATTAATTAATCCTGTCTGCTCCTTAGTGTTGAGCTGATAAATAAATTGCTTAGCTATGATGAAAATGGGAGCTTCGAACAGAATTTTTAAATCTTGTGGTCTTAGGGTCAGGGGTTCTGGCATAACGAGGGGGGGGGGGGGGGAGGCTTTTGATAATATAGTGGAAAAGTGTTAATTCTTTGAAGTCCATAGTTATGATGATGAGGGTAACTCTTCCAAATTTTTAAATTTCTTGACCCTTTGTCTTGGGTTCTGGTGTTAGGGTAAGGCTTTGTTGAATCTGTAGTGAAAATGCATTGTACCTGTGAAATTCTTCTCTGCTTCTGGGCATATCGGAAGCAAACTGAATAAAAGTTTAAATGATATAACTAAGCGTATTTCTACCAGATTTTTGAACATCTGGACCATTTGTCTAAGCATTCTGGTCCTGGGCAGGGCTCTATTAATTTGTATTCTACTGAGAGAAGTTATTCCCCTTTTCCATTCACCTTTGATAATTAATCACTGTAAATAATGTATTTGAAAGGTTAATAGAATAAGATAATTATGCAAGAATGTTTATCGTATAATTCAAAAAGTACTTTCTTAGTTTTAATAATCAGGTAGACCTGTAAGTAATAGATAAATAAAAATGAGACAAAAATAACTTATCTTATTAAAAGTTCTTCAAAGACCATAAGAGAGGTCAATGCTAGAGGTCTTAATATGGGTTTAAAAATAGTACAGAAGCAATAGTAGTTTGTTAATAGTCTGCATGGTGATAGTGTTAAGTGGGGGACAGATTAGAACTTAATTTATGAGTTGATACTGAATACTAGACTAATTATTTTGTTGATCCTGATCTTCCTACTTCTCTTGCTTTAGGACAACAAAGCTTCATCCATCAGTGTATTTAACTTCTAAATTGTTGTATTATACTCAGGTGACCGTTAAGGCCCTTGGGCCTCTTGTTGATTATTTGTGAGAAAAATACCAGTTGTTGAACATAGTCATTTTTTGTGCAAAATATTGCATATAGGGTATATCATTTGTCTGGAAAACTCCTCCTACATTTTTCAAGATAGAAACTTTCTTAATTTTGCATATTAATTGAACATATATCAGAGATGTGAATATTATTTGGATTTAGATTTTTGGATAATTTTTGAGAAAAATACCAGTTGTTGAACTTGGGCATCTTTTTATGCAAAATATATGGATGAATTACAAATCACAGTTTTTGCTTCATATTTTCTAGGAATGGCAATTAAATTGAGAATTGTTAATCTGTTAACTTCAAGATGTTCTGACTAATTAACAGATTAATCATATCAAAATACACATTTTCCTGACATTTTTTTTAAAGTAAACTCTATTCTTATACACAGGAAAAGTAAAAAAAAAAAAACAAACAAACAAAGATGGTAGCAATATTCTGTTTATGCTGGATAGGTACACTTTATATATTTTGTTTCAATTTCAAAAGAATTAAGAAAACCATGAAACATCCCTGAAATATCCAAGTCATTGATAATTAATATTCAGACCAAATGTTACACAAGGATATTCTACATTGTCACCATAAACAGAAACTGCATACTTATTTAGGATGTTTGTAATTTGACAGATAACTGCAAAGGATAGATGAGATACACATTGTAATCAGTTCACTGTACTCAACAGTGATTTAATATCACTAAAGAAATACAGGACAGGCTGGGCAGTGACATTAATTAATACTTCACAAACTGACCAATTACCCCAATGATCTCAATCTGGAGAGCCATGATTAATTACCTCCAAATCAGCTGAAATAAATATTTGAAAATGTTATAACATATAAACTTTCAGATTTTTTTTACATCCTAAATTGAATTTTGTGGAAATTTACAGATATTTTCATTTTTTTCCCTACTAATCAGTTACAGATTTTCTAACCGATTACCATCATTCTTAACGAGTAACCTGTTAACCTTGAGTTACAAATTGCCATCCCTAATATTTTCCTATTCAATAGATATATGGAATTCTTTTAGATTCTTTGCATACTAAACACATTGAGAGGACAAATCTAATCCTAGGCAAAGAAATCAAGCAACCCTAACCTTCAAAGTAGACAATACTTTGATATTAATCATAATGAATGTTCAGTTTTTAGCTCACCTGAGCCAATCAAAACTTGTCCATTGTCTCTCATTGTCCTAAACTTTTCACAATTTCATCTTCTTCAAAACCACTCGGCCAATTTCAACCAAACTTGGCACAAAGCATCCTTGCTTGATTTTTTTTTCAAATGAAGGGTGACACCCCCTTCAAGTGGGGATAATAAAGAATTGTTGAAAATTTACTGACATCATTCAAAATTCTTCTGAAAAAGGGTCAGAATAGATAAAGCTTATGTGAAAGCTGCCTTACATACTGTAGATTCAATTTTGTTCAGTTCATAGCCCCCCAGGGATAGGTTGGGTCCACAATGGGTGATCAAAATTTTACTTATTTATAGGAATTTTTTTTTTTTTAGAAATCTTTTTCTCAAGAACAACAAAGTCATGATTAGTCTGATTTAAATGAAAGCATCTTCAGATAGTGTAGATTCAAGTTTGTTCAAATCATGACCCCTGGGGGTAGGGTGGGGCCACAATGGCCATTCACAGTTTTACATAGAAATATAAAGGAAAAAATCTTTAAAATCTTCTTCTCAAGAACAGCAAAGCCATGGTTAGCCATATTTATGTGGAAGCATCCTCAGATGTTGTAGATTCAATTTGTAGAAATCATGACCAAAAGGGATAGGGTGGAGCCACAGTGGATGATCAAAATTTTACAGAGGAATATATAGAAAAAGATCATTGAAAATCTTTTTTTTTTCAAAAACAGCAAAGCCATGCTTAGCCATATTTATGTGGAAGAATCCTCATATAGTATAGATTCTCTTTTATACAGATCATGACCGAAAGGGGAAGGCTTCAGCCTCAATGGGCAATCAAAGCTTTAACAATGTTTCTTTCTTCACATACTTTTGGACGGGGGCAGGGGCCCTCAGAATTGGAAATTTCAGCATAAATTAGGCTAAGTTTGGAATTTTCAAGAAAACCCAGTAAGATAAAAAGCATTGCCAAAAAATGCTGTTTCTGTCTTTGTTTTTCTTTTACAAACAATTATTAAGCGTTGAATCATTATTTTTTGAAAGATATAGTCTCATAACTGCAACTGTGTGTGCAAACAAAATTGAGTAATGCGCGTTCAAAAAATAATGATTCACTGCTTATATTTACATTTTTAA